CCTTACATCCGCCACCTACCGAGCGAACCGACCGTCCGTCGCCCACCAACCCAAAATGGAGGAAGAGCGTCTCTGGAAGTTCCGCAAGCCTGAGTGGCTCAACAGCGCCTGGTCGCGCAACGCGGGCGTCTACGCCGCGGGCGGTCTCGTACGTTTTTCTCCGAACCCTTTCCCCCCCTATCCGTCTCCGTCCTGGAATCGCCGAGCTCACACGTTGCCCCCCCGTTCTGCCAGTTCTCCCTCGCCTTCTACGTCATGCTCGACAGCGCCGTGTGGTCCAAGACGATCAACGGCTCGGACACGCACGTCACCTTTGTCGACTGGCTGCCGCTCCTCTTCAGCAGCCTGGGCATGCTCATCATCAACAGCGTCGAGAAGACGCGGCTGTCGGCCGACAGCTTCAGCTACTCGGGCAACGGCGTCGCGTGGAAGGCGCGCGTCGTGCTCTTCCTCGGCTTCGCGGCCCTCGCCGGCGGCATGGCCGGCGGCGTCACCGTCTTTGTGCTCAAGTTTGTCGTCCGCGGCGTGGCCATGCCGGCGCTGAGCATGGGCGTCGAGAACGTTGTTGCCAATGCGCTCGTCATGCTGAGCAGCATCGTGCTCTGGGTGAGCCAGAACATGGAGGATGAGTACAGCTACAACCTGTCGCTGTAGGATGCATGCCTGTGCGTGTTTTGGTTATTTCTTCTCTGAGAGAGAGAGAGAGAGAGAGAGAGAGAGAGAGAGAGAGAGAAAGAGAAACGTGGCAATGGCTTCAGATGAAAGGGTGCATGATGCATGCGCGCGCATGAGAAGACGAGCAAGAAACGTTGCTGGCACACAGCGCGAGGACGGTGAGGCGACGTGCTACTTGGGACTGGGTCGGAGACTGTACACTACGCAACGCAACCATGGACTGACGGAATGAGCGGACAGTACGACGGATGAAACCCTTTTGGATAATCATCTTCAATTACTCTTGGGGTAAGGTGACATGCGGAGCTTGCGTTGTGCTATGTCCCTCGGAACCCGTTTCCTCTGCACGCGACTGAGGCTCCATTGCCAGGCACATGTTGCTATGGTCTACTAATGGTCCCAGTGAGCTATACGGAATATGGCATACTTTTGTTGCCATGCCTCCATATTTCCATCGAGCTAGGCGCATTGAACTGCACGAGTCGTCAGGGTGGGGCCTCTGGGTGCGGTCGGCCTGTAGTGGATTTCTCTCGGCCGAACGACGCAATTGGACGTGGGCATATACTTTCTTTCGTCGCTCAGCCCAAAAAATTCCAAGCCTTGGTAGACCCCGCTGTCGGTCATCTGTAAAC